GAGAATTTCAGGGAGTCATTATCACTGATATTTTCATTCCATTATAGAACTTTTCATTACTCAGACTGTCTTTGACTAATATTTTCATGAAACACTAATATTTGAAGGTAGCTACAATGCCAAGGTTCAAATCCAGTTGAGTCATTTTGGGACATGAGTTGAATGAGAACTGTGACAATTTCAGCAATGGAAAAGGGAAGATATCATACTCTAGCTCATCTTCCTACTATGGAAATGGTGAAATAAAATATCCTCTCAGATCAATCAAGGCATAAGGTATATCATAGTGCATGGCTTACTCCTGGAAGGGCACGTTTATCTGGATGAATCATTTCTGATTAAGGTAAAGGTAAAGACCCTCCCGTTGATCGTCGATTTGCTCGAGCGGGCCCAGTAACGTCTCCATTGGAGACTTTGTTGTTACTGTGTTTGGCATATCGAATACATCACGGGGAGCTTGCCAGGCTCTGCCGTGCAGGCGAGATGCTCTTGGTAGCTTGCCGGGCTCTCCGAGAGGGGCGGAGGAATCGAACTAGGGTCGGCCAATGTTGGCCGCGTGTAAGGCGAACGCCCTACCCGCTGTGCTATCGCTCCAGCCCAATTATTTTTATTAAATTGTTAAGTATCTGTTACTAATGATATATTTTTAAGAGTAATAATAGTTGTCTAGCATAAACCAAATGATATAGCAGCACTGTAGCACTGTCCACCTGTTGTTCATCGATTTGCTCGAGTGAGCACCAGTAATGTCTCCACTGTGAGACTTGTTGTTACTGTTTTTGGCATATTGAATATGTCACAAGGAGCTTGCCATGCTCTGCCGTGCAGGCAGGATACTCTCGGTAGCTTGCTGAACTCTCCGAGAGGGAGAGAGGAATTGATCCCAGGTTGGCTGTGTGCAAGGCAAACGCCCTACCCGCTGTGTTATTGCTCTAGCCCAGATGATGTAATAGATTACAAAATTGTTTCAGTTTGTTGAAGAGTCACATAACATCTTAGCTGCAGCTCAGAGATGAAGAAACTATCTCAGACAGATTAAGACACACAGCTAGTAATCCACTAGAATATAAACCAGCAAAGTTTGTTTTTGAAAACTAAAAATGGCAGGAATATTTTGTGCACATGAACGGATTAAAAAAAAGTGGAGGATCCAGAAAAATCCAACAACATGACTAGACATTCTGGCAGAAAACGAAAGACTGAATCCTCACATGTCCTCACCCTTTTTCTCATCCCCAAGTATTCTCTGTGTCTCTGCTCCTTTGTCCGTTGGTCCACGGACCTTGCTCAAGAACTTGGGTGAAACTGGTCCTCCAATTTGAAGACAGACACTGGGATGTTTGGTACCATTCTAAAAGATCTTTACAAACTAGAAATACCTTTGAGATGCAACCTTAATTCAATCAGATTAACTTTGTATCTTAAGTCTTTCTCCTAGGCTCTATAAACGTTAGTTATAAATGCTATAAATGCAAATTTTCAAATGAATTATGTACCGTGGAGGGTGGTGGGCGTGTCTCCTAAACTGTGTTCAGGAAGTTTTGCTGATTTCTGGCCAAATAATCTGGCTGTTCAATGCAAGCTCTGTAGACTGTGATGTTGGGGATTATCCTTGAGACCTCTCATGTGGGGGCTACCATACCGTGCCAGGGATCAGACTGCACCACCACATGCCTATAAAGGAAGCACCGTATCTCCCTCCCATACTATCTCTCCAACCTCTTATTTACAATTGTATTTAGCTGATAGCATCACACACACACACACACACACACACACACACACACACACACACACACACCACTACTTAATGGATTTAAAGTACCCTGGAATTCTTGCAGCCATTGTAGGGGGAAGGAGGAATGTTGTTTTACTGAAGAGGAAAGCTAATTTATTTTAAAAGTGGTTAACTTCAGGTATTTTTTTTCCAATTTCAAAAAATAGAGGTTTTTATTGTAAGCTCTAACTGCCCCGAGTGATTGATTTGTTATAAATACTCTCAGGGATCCGAAAGCTCCAGAGTATTTTCCAGTAAAGTGAAGGAAGAGTGCTGTGGATTGATTGATCAGTGACTGCCATTTTCCCAATTTTTTTTGTCTTATTTCAGCAGGAATTGTGTCAGTTAGATTAGAACTCTTTTCTTCTACATAGCCATAATGGATCTCATTTTCCGTGGCTCATTTCTGATTTCGGTCCAGAAATGCTCAGACGAGGAAGTCACGGTTCACCTACTAGGAAGCATGTCCTGCCTTTTTTTTTATCTCCAGATTATGGGGTTGCCTCTGGTCTGAAAAGGAAAACCGGGGAGAAAGGGAATGGATGGACTGCACCTTCCTCCATTCAGGCAGCTTTGAGTGGAAGGACTTGGTTTAAAATTCAGCGTGCACGCGGCAGGAGAGAAATGGTATATATTTTTGAAACTTGAGTGTTTTCCAGAATGCAGGTTGTCAAGTTTCCCATTTCAACAGTGCAAACTCCAACCTCGTGTAGAGCGATAGCCAGGTACTATTGTTTGAAAACGTTTCTTTAAAGAATTCTGATTGCTCTTTTTAACTCTTTGGACTCGCAATGCTAAATGACAGGGACCCATACATTTTCTTCTTTTCCTTCAAACCTAGGAGAGGTCCCTAATGCAAGAACCTTGATATGCATTCCTTAAAGGGACTTTGCAATTTCAAATAATTGATACTCTCACATGCATATATATCCAGAGTGCACCCCTCGCACTCCCCCCCTCCACCCGCCCCGGTCCTTTGTTACTTGTGTGAAATCAGTAGCTGCCATAACCGAAGTCCCCCTTCTCAGGCTGTGACATTTCAGCAGATTTTCCAGCAAGAAGCCAGAATGCCTGGGGCTGCGCAAGCTGTTCCTCTAGGCCACCAACTCGCAGGCTATGCCACCCAGCTCATCGTCAAACGCGCTCGAATCAAAGTTGCCCATTTTATTAGCGGGCTCCTGAGTTTGCACAGAGCGGCTCGGTAGCGTGGAGGAGATCTCATGGGCAGCAAAAAAAAAAAAAGCCAATGACCGGAAACTGTGGCCGGTGGTTGGAGCTGGGCTCTCTCCTCCTGCCCCCTGCCCTGCAATCCTCTCTCTTTCTCTCGGATTGTTTTCAGGGGCTTTCGTGATTTAAGCCATCCCGGGGATGCTCTCTAAGAGTTTTCTCCTTGAAACGCGTTTCGACTCCGTCTTGCATAATCCAGCTGGAGGGACCGGCCACTGGTCTCCCGAGCTCCCTCCGCGCCGCCTCCCACCCCCGCACCACCCTGGGGACTCGAGTGCGCCGAACCGGGAGGGGTGAGGGGTGGAGGGGGATGAAAAGGACGCGCGCACCCCGCTCCTGGGCGTGTGGCGGGTGGGGGTGTGGGGGGCGCCGGCTTTGTCCGCTCGTCCTTCCGCAGGGGTCGCGCGCTCCCGCGTCCGGCCGGCAGGTGGCGCGCTTGGTTCACGGTGAACCGCGGCAGGAGCGGGAAAGCCGCGCTCGCGCCTCCCCACCGTCGCCCTCCCAACGGGGGACCCGGACTCCTCGGGAGGAAAACCCGACCCAACTCCGGAGGGATCCAGAGGACGGGGAGACCTGGGAGGAGGGTAGAGAAAGGGAGTCCCGAACAGAAACTCGTCGACCCCGCGGAAACCCACCCAATTGCTCGGCGGGCTGGTTTCCCCGCGGCTGGCGGCTGCCTTGACAGGTCCTGGAGGCGCTCAGGTGTCCGCGCTCGCGGCCAGGACTTGGGGACGGGGGACGGGCAAGACGACCCAGGTAGTCTGCATCCGCATTAGGTCGACTACGTGGGGGAGCACCTGCGGCTGGGCCAAGTGAGCGGATTCCTGCGGGTTCTGCAGGCGCTGGGGATGGGAGATGCTTTTTTGGGGGGTGGGGGGGTGCGGGGGGACCGTTCCGGGGAGCTTTGGCAGCGCGGGGCGGCAGCGCGCGCTCGGGGCTTGCTCTCCAGCTCGCCTTGGTTCGGCCGGAGCAATAGCAGGTCCAGGCACTGCACCCTGAAAATCCGAGATTCTCTTCCCCACCGCTGACCCCCACTGTCCCCGGTAACGGCCAGGGCTCCAGGACCGCTCCCCAGCCCCTCTCCCCCGGGAAGCCGCGCAGTTGCTTCTCTGAAGCCGGAGCAAGTCTGGGGCAATCTAGCAGCGGTTGGGAAGGCTCAACCGGGCTCCGGGACGCGCCCCCAAGGCCCCGGGGCTCGCTCCCGGGCTCGCAAGTGCTTTCGTTCCGAGCCAGCCAGACTCTCAGACTCGGAACCCAGCTTGCAGCAGGAGCAGGCGCTGTCCTCGACGTCTGGGGAGCGATTTTGGTCCCCGCTACCCAGGGAGACGGAACAGCCTGGGAAGAAAGGTGGAATCAAACTACAAAAACTCTCCCCATTACAAAAAAAAAAAATCATCATAATTAAAACAAAAACACACACACAAACGCAGAGACAGCCAGAAGGGTGCCGGGCCCCCGCGCAGGGCTGGAGCGTGCAGTCCCGGTTGCGGGAGCGAGCGGGACGCGCACGCTGAGATCCGCGGAGCTGGGAAACCGTCCGGAGGCAGCTCAACTTTATACTTATTTAACTGCGGGGCAAGAGACTCTCCCATAGCCCGCCGCCCCGAGGTCCTACCCGGGGGGGATGCACCCCTCACCTCCCGCTCTCCCCATGCCCCGTCCCAGAGACCAAAGAAAGAGACTTTCCAAGCTCTTTCCGCCACCCGTGGGGCCGAACCCCGAAGGGGACGTCCGGGGGGAACCTCGTCGCCTTCCTCCTATGGGGGAGGGGGGCTCCCGGGCTCACCCCTCCAAAGCCTCGGGAGACCGCGCACCCCGCGGAGCCCGGAGGGGGCGGGGCTGGGGGCGGGCTCTGCGCGCTGGGGGCGGGGCCTGGGCGGCCCAGTTGCGCCGTCATTGGCCGCGGACCCCAGACTGGCGGGTTCGCGTCACGGGCCGGGCCCACCCCCTTGGCAATGTCTTGAGCCTGCTGCACTCCTAACTTAAGCATTTATTCCACTGGGATAGGAGCGGCAGGAGCAGCGTTGGCACCGGCGAGCCATGGCTGGGATTTTCTATTTCGTCCTCTTTTCGTTTCTCTTTGGGATTTGCGACGCTGTCACCGGTTCCAGGGTGTACCCCGCGAACGAAGGTAAGAGGTTGGGGGCCGGAGGGGACGGTTGGAGGGTGAACAGTTCCCGGGAGCCTGAGGCCAGCGGCTTGTGTGCATGGAGGTAGTGGTGGTGGTTGTGTTTTTTTTTTCTTTTTTTGGAGGAGGGTATCCAGGCGAGAGTGGTGCACCCCGACTCCATAGGAGCAGGCCGGGCTGAGAGGAGCCGCGAAGGAGACAGCGGGGCGGCTGGCTCCCGGGTCCCCGGTGACCCGTGTTCTCAGAGCAGCTGCTCAAGTTTGCAGCGAAAGGACAAAGTTTATCAGCATCCTCCGGCGAGGCCAGCTCGGGGCGCCCGGAGCAGATGCTCCGGAGCCATCGCTGAGGTTTAAAATAATCATTTACCCCCCTCCCCAAATAATGAATATGGACTAAGTCACCCCCCCCCCGCCCCCCCACCCCTTTCCACCCGCTCCCATCTCTCTGCCACCCAGCTCGGAAGCCTGGAGCACCAGGAGAGAGCTGCGAGGCCCGGGCTTCCTGCGCGAACGTTGCGAGCTCTGGCGTTTGCAAAGTTTCCCGAGCCCTGTGACGCCCGGGACCCCGCTGCCCGGCCGCCGACGCCGCTCGCCCGCTGCCGCTGACCTGGTTTCTAGCGCCCGGCGTTAGACACCTTTTCTCCCTGCCCAGCGCCTCTTCCAGGGTTGTTGCATCGCTGGCCTGGGCAGCTCGCCCTCCTGAAGTCACCCTCCCCGCAAACCTGGGAAACCCGCCCTCAGATGTATCATACTCGAGGGAATATCCCCCCACCCCCCCCCACACACACAATTTTTACCACCACTACCACCACCACCAAAAACAACAACAACACCGCCGCATTTGCTCCTGGAACTGTATTCTATTTGCTCCGGGAACTGCATCCTATATTAGTTTGGAGGGACCAGTGGCACCAATTGCACCCGTCTGCTGGGTGGTGTTCAGTTTTCTGCGCGTCTGTTGGGACGGACGTGCAGTAAGGACTGCGTGTGTGTGTGTGTGTGTGTGTGTGTCTATGTGTGTGTATGTATGTGTGTGTGCGTGTGTGTGTGTGTGTGTGCGCGCGCGCATATGTGCGGGTGCGTGTCTGTGTGTGCGCGCGCGCGCGCTCGTCGGGAGATGGGGGTGGGGGTGACCACTGAGTTTGGGATGATCTCAGAGAAAGGCGAGTTTCTGCGTGTGTCCATGCACGCGCACGAGCGCGCAAAGGCTTGTCCGTGGGTGCGCGGGTGGCCGCGTGGACGCGGGAGGACTGTGTGCCGAGCGCCCTGCCGGGGTGCGTGTGCGTGCGTGGGGATTGCTGGGGCGCCAGCCGCGCGCGGGGGGAGCCTCGGCGTCCCTCTCTCCCCCTCCCCCCCGCCTCCCCTCGCCCCCGCAGCCCCCACCCCCATCCCTCCTTCTATTCATCCGTCCGTCTCCCCTGGATCCGTCCACGCATCTCCGCGCAATCGATCATTTTCCCTGTTCCGAAGGAGGGAGCCAAAAACCAACTTAGCATTGGCTGGGCGAGCCGGTACCCAGAGCTCGCCAGACGCGAGGCTCGGGAGATGCGCACACCTGCCCCGCAGACTCGGGTGGGAGAGCAAAGGGGCGTCCCCACCCCACCCCACCCCCAGCATCGATGCCCTGGTGTGGGGCCCCTCGGCCTCTGCCCTTGAGCAGTTTGGCCCTCGGCTCCGTTCCGTCCGGCCGCAGCCGTGGACACCTCGCGTTCTACTGACCACTTCGCACGTTTGTTTAGACGTTCCCCCAAGACCTCTCTCGCACCCGACGTCGAGGGAATTTTCTCTCGTGTTATCCCTTTCTTGCTTTTTTTCTTTTGAAAGCAAAACTTGAGCTCCTTAAACAAACAAAAAAAAAAAAGAAGGAGGGGGGTGGAGGTTAGAATTGATGGTGCCTTAGGCTGATGGAGAAAGAATGGGGATTGGGGGGGTCTACCCTCTCCCCTCCCCCGCCTCCCCCTTAAAATTAATTCATTTTGTTGCTTTTTATTCCCATCACGTTCCCTTTTCTCCCTTTTACCCTCTCTTTCTACTCCCTCCCCTTTTTTGTAAATTGGGTCTTATTGTTCCCTTTGTGTCCCTAATCCACCTTACATAAATCCAAATGGATGTAGCGGGGCTTTTCTCTGGGGACGGAGAAGAGTGAGGAGGGGGCGCAACTTCGGCCGGGAACGACCCCGGGAAAGCTGTACCTTTTAAAATAATTAACAGACCCCCGGAATTCTGGCTCCCGAGAAAAAGCGGGAGAAAGTCTGATTTTAACGCCTTAGACTTCAGGGTGAACTGAGAGCTGCAGAGGGCCAGGGACCGGGTAGGAGTGTGGGGTGGGGGGTGGGGGCGGAAAGGCCGCGACTAATTAAGAATTAGGGTGCCTGTGAGCTAGGAGGGTGATTTTTCATTCCCACCCTACCCCCAGCGCGAAAAGCCAGCCTGGTTCCTCAAATTAATATCCCAATAGTTACTTGGAGGTGGGTCTTTGGAACCCAGGTCTGCGGATGTCGGTGGGAACGGGGACGTAGAGAGGTTTGGGGTTTTCTAACGTTCTTTTGGACGTCCTGTGTGCCTAGAAAACGTACCTCGCGAACCGCAGTTCAGCCGCACCCCAACCCCGCTTCTCCGGGCCCTCCAAAGAATGGATACAATCTCTTCCATGCAGCCCCCAACACAGTGAAGCTAACCAACCCGAACCTAAAATTCGAATTCCCTCAAGGGCAAAGGACAAGTCTCTCTTTGCCAGTTCCCAGCGGGACCCTGGGAAAAGTAGACGTTTTTTATATTTGCATGTAAATTCTAGGCGTCTGCATTCCCCCTTTTCTGAAACTTTGACATTTAAAAAAAAAGCAGTGAATATTATATTGGGGTCTATTTACTGGTACTGGGGTGGGGGGGAGGGAGGATCAAGGCCTTCTTTCTCCACCCTCTGAATCCTCTCGGATAGAATTCACTTGTGGCTCTGTCACCAGGATGATGAGTTATACGGTCATCTGAAACTTGCAAAAACAAATAATTCTAGTAGATACCAGACAGAGATGAATGCAGATTGTGCTCTGGAGTGTAACTGCCCTACCCCGAGATATTTATTTTCGGAATTGTACTTGGCGATTTCTCTATTCATCCTTTTGAGAAAATGAAGCACGTGAGCCCTGGAATGGAATTTTAAATGCTAAGCAAGTTAAATAAATAAGAACCTGCAGATTTAAAGAGGGGAGAAGATCAAGTGAGTAATGATTATTTACATAAGGGAGACCAAGTTTAGGTTTTGATCAGAGATGGAGACGTGCAGTGTGGACCCTCACTCTCCCCACATATGGAAGTGCTCAGGCAAATGGTTTTTGTAGTATTGGCTTTTTGCAATTGGAAATTAATCTTTTTTTTTCTTTTCTTCTTTTTTTTTTTTTTTTTTGCAGTTACCTTATTGGATTCCAGGTCCGTCCAGGGTGAACTTGGGTGGATAGCGAGCCCTCTGGAAGGAGGGGTAAGTTCCGAGTTGCTCTCTGATCCTAAGGGTAAAAAGGAATGATTAGCAACTTTCTGAGAGTCCTAATGGCTTCATTCTTGTTGATTGTGGCCAGGGGGTCAGGTTTCTTCCATGGCCTATGAAGTGAATTACGCTTTGTTGGAGAAATCCTATACTCCCTTTGGATAGCTCTGTCATGGAAGAACTAGAAACCAAAAGGGCAGAAAGGGGTTTCAAAATTAGGAGACCAGGGAAGGCATAGGCTTAGATGCCTATTTAAAACGAAAAGACCCTCCAGAAATATGATCTGGGAACCCAATTAGAATTTATGCCTATTACTGCAATCGCCATGAAGTCCTGACAGGGTTAATTTTGGAGCAACTGTCCTGTTTCCAGATGACAAAAGTGAAGGAATAAAGTTGCTAGGAAGAAAAGACTACTAATTGTTCGAGGTACAGGTTTAGCTTTGGCTATTTGGGGAGGGGCTCATTACCTTGCTATATGAAGCCCTTAATCAGCTGCTATGCTCTCTCATAATGAGAAGGGACCATGTTAGCTTTGGAAAAGCGAGTGGGGGTGAAATGGGTGAAAAGATGAAGTATTTGGAACGGTGGGTATCAGAATTGGGGAAACTATTGCAAAGCAGGAGATGGTGTGGCACTATTATATCTGCCATTCCTGCCTCCACTGGCAGAATTAGAAAATAGAATTAGGTCAATGCCACTTTCTCCCACCCTGCCCTTCCCGACCCCCTTACTAACCAGCCGGAATGAATAAGCTCTGGAAAGGAATCCGTACAACATGTAATTCAGGCTTCTGCCAAATTGAAATAATGCTCAGATTCTTTAAAAATTAAGCAAATCGTCCAAGCTTTGCGGGCTTGATAATGTACGACTGAGTCAATTGATTAAAAACAATGGGGATGAAAGATTAGGCCTCTGACTGGGTGAAAATTGTAATGGCAGATAGGAGGAGTGTGGATGCTTTACACCTGTCCATTAAATAAATAATAAAGGATTAAAAGAAAGATTCCTACAGACTTATAAAAAAAACATGCTTCAAAACTAAGACAAAACAAGGAAGCAGTTCACAAAAATGAAGACTGTAGGCTGTCTTTTCCCCAAACAGGTTTTGTAATCCACTGGAAACAAAACAGAGATTTCCCAGCCTTCCTGTTTTTCTGCCTGAACTTGACTGCTCTTGGTCTCTGCCGAAAAATTCTAGTCTGTCCTCAAAAACCATTTTTTTTAAGGGCAACAGAGTGATTGGCAGGCCTCTGGCAGTGTAGACAGGCTGTATTCACCACTGATTGCACGCAATTGCCCTCATCCTTTGAATGTGAAGAAAGGTACAGCTTTATCTTGTGCAAGTCAGACTCTTGTTAATCCCATACCCTGGAAAGGTCACTGATTCAGGGGGGCTTTCCCAGGCTACTCCTAGGATATTCTCAATAGGGTGAATGGATTAGAAGTGCCAGGGAAATTGATGACAGAAGTTACCAATACTTTTATTAAAATTTCTTTAGTGAGCCTTAGTCTTACTGGATGCTCAGTGCAACTGGTATAATTTTGAAAGTAACTGGTTACACTAGGTACGCATACAAGCAAGGAGTGACATTTTCCAGGACAGTAAATGGGCCAGCTGGTTTCTGCAGTACATAAGTCTAGCTAGTTTCTGGAAAGTTTTTATTGCAATTAAATATGTTGCAGGTGTTTTCTCTATGCTCACTACCCCTCCCAACACAACCACTAAGAGAACATCTGATTAATTTTTCTAGACACCGAAATCCTTTTCATTATCTTAAAGTCTCTTTACATACTGTGTCTGTACTGTTAGTATACAATCCAGAATGTTTTGGACTAAATATAGGCAGATTTCCACCCTTTTCCTTAAATATTATGTGTCTGTCAGTTTAAGTATTTTTGTTAGGGGTTAGAGATGAAATTATATCTGTGTATAATTGAATTACTCACTCCAAAATATGTAATAGCCTTTGTGCCAAATGATAAAGTTTAATTAATCTCCAGATTTTATAATTAAAGGGATGAATTGGACAACTCCCAAAAAGGGATGGATTTTCCTTTCGAGAATCTTTCCAGCTGAGGATAAAAGCAGAATCATCTTGTGATTATTCCGAAATTTCTATTCAGAGTTAGAACAGGTCACATCTTTCTAGGCTGGAAATGAGGTTATTGGTTTGCCCAATAATGACACTTGTTGTATTTGTTGCTGTTCTTTTTTGAAAGAAAAGAAAACCTTATTTGCCAATAACATCAAGTAAAAGATGAACTATGTCAGGAGATCACTCACTGTTTCCTCATTCTTCCATGAGGAGGTCTAAGCTGAACAGAAGCATAATAGAAAGTGATGATTCCTGATGTATCACTGTAGCAAAGACCTAATTTCTTGGCAGTGTTCATTTAAAGGGATATATTGAGTTTCTGACACTGGTTGTAAAATAGAAAACTAAGGGCAGATTTGTCATTGTTCTGGTGAATAGATCAATATGTTTAGACAATCCTGTTTAGGCTGGAAAATTCACATTAGACCTGAAATGAACCTGTATCATCTCTGGGAGCTACCTCTGAGTGCTTCCATTTACATGGTTAAATGTGCTTTTCCTTATTTCCTTTGTTCTGAGATGAGAAGCATGCTGAGTAGGGTTTTTTGGTTTTTTTTTTTTAAGGTGGGCAATCTATTTTTGGATTTTTTTCCCAACATGTAAATTGCAAGCGATTTATTGCTTAGTGGAGGACAAGAAATTTTAATCACCTCAAAGGACCTATCCCTACCAGTTTTAACTTTCCTGATGGTAGCAGATGAAAGGATACAGAACATTCTGCACTAGAACCCTTCACATAATAACATTTTCAGTCATTAATAGTTTTTCAATGCACAGAAGGGAAACTGTTAAAAGATACACTAAAATTCTATGTACTTCACAGGATTGAGTGGAGCTCTAAGTGGAGCTATTATAGACCATGAACATGTTTTTATCTCCCCCCCCCCCCCCAATTATGTCCACGTGTTAGATAGTTTCACTGTTTTATCTCATTAACAAAGATAATAATGAGGGATTGGAGATTTCATACACACCTGGTAAGAACTTTCAAATTAGCTGCTTTTAGGATTATTTTTTTAAAAGCTGTACTGAGTAGGAAATTTCTCCTAGAGTCGGAGTGCATTTTGCTGAATCCATCCGGTTCCAAAAACTTTTGTTAGGAAATAAATCAACTGCAAATAAATCTCTACCATCCTTCTCTAATTTGGGGGGTTCTCAATTCTCCATATCACTTGTAATTTTATTTTCGATGTCCACAGACCAGCTTCCAGGCACATGTGCTTTCCTATTTAATTCTATGTCTGCTTTCAAAATGAAGAATGTACAACTTCTTAACTGAATATATGCTCTTCAAAAGTGTTCTATTGTGCTAATGACACTGCAATTGAGAAATCCAACCATAAACTTTCCTCTCTATCTTCCCAGGATTATCGAAACTTGAATGGTGAGATTTTCTTCTCGCCTCCAAGAGTAGGGAAGCTGCCAGAGAAACATCGACTGACATTTTTTTAGGTATTAGAGAGCAAAGTTCTGACAGGAGCACCACTAATTAACCGATAATTGTCTTCCTTTGGCAAGCTGTACTCTTCCTGCTCTTAATTTGCAGGTCTCTGCTCAGTTGTTGAAACAATACACATACTAGTTTTTCATTTATGAGTAAATTTGAACTGTTGCCACTTGAAATTAGAGCTGTTGTAATAGGTGAATTGGAGGTTGTTAGACCACCACAAGGAACTGCTGAGAAATCATCAGCAGTAAATTCACCCTTGCTTCTTTGGATTTCAGGCAAAAAGTGAAACAATTCAAAATTAAACGAAACAACTCACCCGCCCCACAACATACACACTAAAATAGCATCTTAGATCCCATGAGATAGTATGGTCTTCATTAGTGAGGATGGATAGTGAGTAGTTTTTTCTTCCTTATCAAAACAGTTTAAAAAAAAATCACTGTGTCCCCATGAGAGTAAACCAGGATGAACAAATCCCTGCTTGATGACATGTTGTAATTGATCCATTTGCTTCTGGATCTTTGCAGTGGGAAGAAGTGAGTATCATGGATGAGAAAAACACACCAATCCGAACCTACCAGGTGTGCAACGTGATGGAACCCAGCCAAAATAACTGGCTCCGAACTGATTGGATCACACGAGAAGGGGCTCAGAGAGTGTACATTGAGATTAAGTTCACCTTGAGGGACTGTAACAGTCTTCCCGGCGTCATGGGTACCTGCAAGGAGACCTTCAACCTGTACTACTATGAGTCAGACAACGACAAGGAGCGTTTCATCCGTGAGAGCCAGTTTGGCAAAATCGACACCATCGCTGCCGACGAGAGCTTCACCCAAGTGGACATTGGTGACAGGATTATGAAGCTGAACACCGAGATCCGGGACGTAGGGCCCTTGAGCAGAAAAGGGTTCTACCTGGCGTTTCAGGATGTAGGGGCCTGTATAGCCCTAGTGTCAGTCCGCGTGTTCTATAAGAAATGTCCCCTGACGGTTCGTAATCTGGCCCAGTTTCCCGACACCATCACCGGGGCAGATACCTCCTCCCTGGTGGAAGTTCGAGGCTCCTGTGTCAACAACTCTGAAGAGAAGGATGTGCCAAAAATGTACTGTGGGGCAGATGGTGAATGGCTGGTACCCATTGGCAACTGCTTGTGCAATGCTGGGCATGAGGAGCGCAATGGAGAATGCCAAGGTAAGAAGAGCCATATTGTACTTTTTATTAGGGCTCAGTGCACGTAATTAAATCAGAGATGAGACTAAATGGAGTAAAGCCAGTAATTAGCGGCCCCAGTGGGATGTGGTGGGACAGAGGGGTCTAATGAGTAAGTGCTATAGCTCCAGGTGGCAAGGCTAAGACGTCGCTAATACTGACACAATAAATGATGCTGCTGTGATCAGCAGAAGGCCAAACACATTTGCTAACGGGCACTCAGATCCCAACTGGTTTGATGCACCCTCAGAAATGGAAATGAAGGAGCTGAAGACATTCGCTTGATTGATCCTTACTTAAAGAGGGTGGATGCTAGCATTTCCAGTCTGCAGACCTGGGACAGTGACAGAGAGGGTGGCACTCCCCTCTAAAGTGTGTCCTACTGAATGATTTAAATGGGACAGTAGGAAGGGATCCTGTGTGCCAATTTCCTCCGGTAGAAAGTCTGGTTTTGCCTGCTGCGTGGACCTGTGTAGACACGGCCTAATGAAGTGACAGTATTTCTGCTCCACTGAGCTGATGAGGTCTCTAAATGAAATTAGTCTCCACTAAAGACCTCTTCTGTCCCTGAGGAAGTGGTCAAGAGCTGGGAGGAGGCTCCCTACCTGATCGGTGGCCAGAGGCAATAGGACATTGGAATCCATCTGGGCTACTGTGAGGTTTGGAAAATAATTGAGGTGAAATTGTGATCATAGTAGTTACAATTCATCATATTGCTCAGGTAATTTTCTTTTCTCACCTAAAGGTAAATACATACAGTTTTTTTCTTCCCTCCCTCAACTTTCTCTTAGAATACCAGGGAAATTAATTTTTTTTGGTCTATATACCGGCTCTGTTTCTGAGAAATGGTGAGCATAGTTCATATTGGCTTGATTTTATGTGATGTGTAGATAAAAAATTAGCCTAATTTTTTTTTTGCGGGGGTGTTGGTCATTATTATTAGTGCTTATCAATCATCAGCTCCCGCCTATTTGTTGTATTTATTTATTCGTAAACAGTGTAATTTTAGTCCATCCATGGACTTGGTCAGATCCATCTTTTCTCAGGGTGATTGTTGAGCTGTAGACTGGGTTGCCACATGGTTCATCTGATTTGGTGATTAAAGAGCCTGAAATAATTGACTGCCAAACAATTTGTCTGGCATTTCAACCATCTTAATGACAGGGTGGGATTAACTATGGGGTAATCCACTTGACAGACTGGAAATCAACAGTTACAACCAAAAGAAAAATCGCATTTTTGGTAATTTGGCATCATAGATGTATGCATTTCTCCCTCCATTGTTGGTTATTTTTTTATGTGTCATTCTGATTGGCTATAGTTATTTCAAAGAGTAGGGCAGCTAAGCAGTGACAGTCTTTTGATTTCATTGCTCATAAAAGAGAATAAAGACTGGCTACCTTTTCATGTGGATAGAGAGTAAAGGGGTAAACCTTACATATCCACTGGGAAAATTGGAACTTGAAAGCCATTGTTTCACAAAGGTGAATGTTTTTTCTCCTTTATTTGCTCTTGACTTGGCAACTGTAAATGAAACTATCCCTAAATGAAACCTTCAGTTATACTTTGAGGATTAATGTTTTTTTTTTTCTTTAAATGAGTAAACTGAATACTAGAGCCTAAATGACAAGAATGATAGCAGGAACAGGGAAGTGAATGGGGTGTGAGACCACGTCACATTTTGCAGCAAATTATTCTGCGTTATTTTATGTTTGTAAGCAGAACTTCACATCTTCACATGTCACAAGTCTATTAAAAAAGTGTCACTGTCTTCTATTCCTTTCTCTAATGTTCATGTTTCTAGCATTCATACCTCTCTATGTACCTAATGTCATTGATTTGCAATTGTCATAGAGCCAAATAACTCATCCATTGCTCCACTGTGAAGGTTTTGGATATTTTTAAAACTCAAATCAAAAGGAAAAGAGAAAACAATGGAAAGAGCAATGAATAGAAAATTAAACATTTTAGGGGTTTGCTTTATGTGCATGGAAATCATCTTGGAAATCCAATTGATGACATGGTTCATGCATGGCAGGGGAGTTATTCTGTAGATTCAGTTTCAATCCATTTCTGAACAAAAAGTTCCTAGCACCAGGACATATTGGTAAAGGAAGGGGAGGGCTGAGTCATTTCTAAGAATGATTTAGTGTGCTCATGCCTACTACCCAGGTATTTTCTTTTCTCCTCATAAAATAATAAACTCTCTCAAGAAGACACTTTCCCACCATGCATTTCATTTGCTTGTTTGTTGTTAATACTGCCTTGCCAAAGTCTTTGAGTTCTGAAGAAAGGAGTAACAGAGGGTTCTTAAATTTCCAACCTGAGCGAGACTTTTAAAGAATGATGGTAAAGATCTTAAAATAAAAACACTAGTTTACAGCCTTGACATCATTACTGAGATTTTAGAGTACAGCAGAAAGAACATCAACCAAGAGGGTAATTGTCACCTTGACTTGGCTGTATGGCTTTGCCATGGACATGGCTTTTCAGCTTGGCTTGCTCATCTATATAATGGGTCGATAATGATTATCTACAGAACTGCCATTTGGGCCAATGCTTGCATTTCTTTAATTACTCTGCTCCCCTCAAGGCTGCAGCTACTGAGCTTCAAAGTGGCAGCAGTCCAGCTAGTAGATGGAAAGTTCATCTTTCTGCCACTCAAAGTCAAGGTTAAAGATAGGAAGCCTTGCCCTTGTTCAAACAAAGAAGACTACCCATTTTTCACACTTCATGTTTCAAATAATATTTGGGGAAAGTGCCATTGCTCCTCCCTCGCGCCCCCCTCCCCACCAACTCCCTAGTAGGAAAGGAACTTCCCTTTGAATAAGAGGAAAGCCCTGTGAGGCTGGGACCAGAAAGAATTGGGTATAAAGAGAGCTTAAGAAAGGATATAAAGGAGAGCTGGCCAGTCCTCAGACTCTGGCAGTGGGGCCCTCCCCAGTTGTCCTTTCAATGGGCTTTCCTGTGGCAGGACAAATAGAAGAGCAGGTGAAAGGTCACCTACTTCCTCATCCATCTTCCTTAGGGTCTTGGAGGTCAGAGTGAAGATTGATTAAGATCTTAACTGTTTGACAAAGGATACTTGGGCCAAAATGGCGAGGGCGGGAGGGGCCCTAGAGAGTGCCCTTGTCCAATCTAACCCCAGTCTGCTACCAGAGTTGTCCTGGGACTCGGGACAGAGGGACACTTCCTCTCGGACGTCTTGCCTCCAAGTCGCCCATGCTAATGAAGACAGGAGATTGAAGGGCTGCGTCTCTTGTCTCAAGAGTGAACAGGCAGGGTGAGGGCAGGCGGGTCCTCAGAAGCAGCTGCAAGTTCATTCTGGCCTTGAATAACGTTTTCTGAAATGCCGTGACTCAGTCTGGGCAGCCAAACAAAGCAAGCTCGGGAGACTCTCACCCAAGAGAAGGCATGGCTGGCCTGGACGGAAGGGCAGTGCACGCTTTTCTGGAGATTGGTGCAGAGATAGGAGGGAATGTCCAGCGAAGGCCACTTCCCAGGGCTCCTCCCATCTGCTTTCCCCACCCTCAGCCACTGAGGGAAGTTTCCAGATGCTTTCCAGAGTTGTTTGCATTGCCCCAGAAATATTAAGCAGAAGAAAGCAAGGAAAAGATTCTTTATTAGCTTTTTTTGCTTAATTAAAAAGCTGAGAAATGAAAGTCACAGATTTACTGTGTGAAATATTAATAAGCAATATTTTCAGAGAGGATATATAAAAGTAATGCTAATAAAAAGAAAGCATTCTTAAGGAGTCATTTTTAAAGCCAAATGATCACAGCTGTGACCAAATTAAGTCTTGCTGAAGTACACAATTTTGTTCTAAATCTTTGGATTGTGTGTGTATCTCCTATATGCATGTGCATATTGAACTATATATGTATAGCTTTCTATGGAGAAGGTCTTTCATATCATAAAGGGTCTCTTATTAAAAGCTCTTTTGAAAAGAAGGAAGACATGCTTTGATGGCTGTAAAATAGTTATATTTTAGAATTGGGCTCTGTAGAGGGAAGGAACTTTGTTTTAAGACAGGAAAAAAAAAAGAGGACTTACTTTGTTTTCGTAAATGCTCAGAAGGACCTTAGGAGAAAGAAGTGCTGGAAAGAAGGCATTTAAAATAGAGTTCAGAGAGATGCTGTTTGATACCCTTTCTACTTTTGAAATTTTTCTCCTACTTTGAGTCATGTCTTTAAGAATCAATTGCTTGAATCACCTGATTGCTTTTATCTCTGGCTTTGAAGCATGGCTGTGATCATTGAAAGACGCAATTCTTTATATACGAGGTGAGCTAGGTTTAGTAATTGTCCTTTTTCTATTGTACTTCTAAAAGAATGTTTTCCTTCTTCTTGTGCTCAAGCTTCTTTTGTCAAGGACTACCATTCCATGGTCTCTATTTGGGGTTCTCCAAAGCATCACATAGGAAATAACTCTGGGAGGTTTGAATACGGCATGTAAGAATTGATGGCTTCTTTAAGTCTAACTGAGATTCATTACTGTACTTTAAAAATTAAGTCATTATATATACACATGTATGTGTATGTGTGTGTATAAAGACATTTTATGTTTGTGTGTGTGTGTGTGTGTTAAGACTTAAATCTTTTGAAAAGAAAAATCCCATGTGGGAAAAAGGTGGATGAGTCACTGTCTTAGTTACTGACATTCAAAGCAGAGGTGGGCATGAAAAAAGTGTGAATGTTATATCATTGAATTTCAGTACTTAAGTTTTTGTTGTTGTGGCATTTAATTGATGAGTTGTGCATTAGCAAAGGCCTGCATACTTTCAACTCTTACTCTAATTTTTCATAGTTTGCCACACTCTATACTTCGGCTGATAACCCACTTAAATCTATATACATATGTCTTTAACACAATCCAAATTAAATAACCCTATAATTGTCATCTTGTTTTGCTGTTGTTTGACTATTCTATTTATCATGGAACTCATTTCATATTGGAAAATACATTCTTCTTTTTTCTTCACA